CACCAGGACTTCCAGGTCCTTCTCCACCGAGCTGCTCTGCAGCAGGTCAATCCCAAGCCTGTACTGGTGCATGGGGTTATTCCTTCCTTGGTGCAGGACCCTACACTTGCCCTTGTTGAACTTCACCAGGTTCCTCTCCTCCCAACTCTCCAGCCTGTCCAGGTCTTGCTGAATGGCAGCACAGCCTTCTGGTGTGTCAGCCGCTCCTCCCAGTTTTATATCATCAGCAAACTTACTGAGGGTATGCTGAAGTAGAGCCATTTTAACTTATGACAGAAAATAGCGAGGAGTAATATGTGTAGCAGAAATGCTAAAAATGCAGGTTATTGCTATCTGACCAAGTGTCACTAGCCCACTTGACCAGGATGACATGCCAGCTGGTTAGCCCTGTGGCTGCTCCTGGAGCCATACAGTGACAGGTACTCTCTGCAGGTACCTGATGTTAACCTACTTCATTATCAAATATCTGATGGACCTTAACTATTTCACAACCCAAAATCTAACCAAAGGAAATGGCTATAGGACTGAACTATCTAACGCTTAGTGTGAGAGGAGAACAGCTACCTTGAATTAGTATTTCCTTAACAGAGCTTGGGATCATCAGAGCCTTCATTACTATGTGACCTTTCAGCAAACCAGTAGTGAAGAATCATTTTATTTCTTAACTGAATACTAAGGACTCCTTTGCTTATTAACCTATAAATTACCACAGCTACAGTTTGTCTTAGAAAGAGGCAAGTCAAAATATAGCTGTGCCATATCTATTTGGTTTCCTGTAGGATGAGTCATATTCCCAACCATTTAGTGAAATTGGGAAATATATTGATTTTGGCTTGTAGTTCACCTCCAGTCTGGTCCAGATTTCCTTCACTTTCATTTTAGTGCATCTGAGATGATGGATGATCTCATTACTAAATTGCTCTCACTCTTGTGAATCAGTTGAGATGTGGCTGCTGCAAGACACCTACCGTAGCTGTGGTTAAGTTCTGCTGATGTAGTAAAATTGGTTAAGGCTGCTACGTGTACATGTGTTTGCATTTTGATATAATGGCTTATGGAAATACAAAGTCTTTTAATTGTCTCTATTTAAGTCTCATTTACCAGGGATTTCTGCTTTATATCATATGCACCAAGGGCTTGAATGCCAAGAAAATGAATCGAAGTTTGTGGCCATTAAAGCGGAACAATTCCAAATGAGATGTTCTGTGAACTGCTTTAGAGTGGAAATAGTATAGATCAGTGATTCACAAACTCTTTGTTATTAATCAAGATCCTGCCCAAGACTGATTTCCCCTCATTTGGATCCCACTCATTTCTGACAGAAACTACAGAGCTGTGATTGCTTACATAAAAGTAATAACAGAATAGGGTTGTGGAGATCAGTTTAAAAAACAAACTTTCTAATGCTGTGCTTGCAGCTGTTTGGCTTCCCTATCCTGTTATTTTATCTTTGTATGTTTCACTTCTTTTTTTGATAAGTGTTGAACTTGACCTAATTTACTCCCAGATATGCTCATAGTGTCCCACTACGCTTACTTTCCAGGTTGTTTTGAAGTGTATTTATTCTTTTTCATGTGCCTGTTATCCATCCACTTTTGCTGTTTGGCATTAGATTTGCTTCCAGATAAATATGCCCAAAGGACAATGGGACATGGTTATTTGAGAGACACTGAATATATTTGTGGGGTTTTTTTGTCCCAATCTAATGTCACAGAGCTCCTGGAAACCTTATGCAGTTTTGAACATGTCTAAAATTACCAGAAGGTGTCCTTGTTGGTGGTTGTGTCTGTGGTAGTAAGAGCCTCTCAAAGAACCTGCAAATTCCTGGTCCAGAGATGTAAAAGATTCACTTACATTATTTTGCCTTTTAAACTTAAAAATCTTTTCCAACGTAACTTGTTGAGTATCATTAGCAAGGCCTGAAGTCTCTTTTAGAAATGTCAAGGAAGGCATTCTAACTAAAATAAACCAGCAGACAGAAACACTATGTGACACAAAGCTCTCATTTCTTAAGGAAGGCTGTACAAGAGGTGCCTCACTTTTTATTTTTCCTGTACCTTCTGTGCTCAGTGAAGATGGCAGAGTTTCAGAGTATGAATTTTAGAAGAATATGGTACTATTATTTCGTTACAGAGGAGCCATATACAGAAATGTAGCCTCTTTTAAGAAAATTGGAGTCAAAGTTGGGAGTCGTTTCAGAACTGTGGTGGTTGCCGTGTTGGACAACCCATGCCTTGCAGTGAAATTGTTCTCCAGTGGCAAGTGGCTTTTATCTAAGACATTGTCAGTGTGTTTCTGCTTCCCAGTTACAGGAAAAAAAATGGTTAGGCTTTTTAAGAGAGTCTTTGGAGATTTATTTAACTCCAGAATTATTTAATCACTGCTTCTACAAAGTTGATAAAATCTGTAATTGGTAGGAATTATCTGTTTAAAGCCATCTTTTGCTGTTGGCGTGTCTGCACATTGCCAGATAATGGTGAATCTATTAATACAGGAAATGTTTGAAGAAGTGTCTTCGTGCTGTATTAGCAGCTTCTATATGTATTTTATTGAAAAAGTATTAAGCACCATATATGTGGGAGTCAATTTGTGAGCAGCTCTTGTAAACCAGATACAAATGTGTAAATGCTCTCTTACAACCATTTCACAGTCTACTCCCAAACCAGCAGCACAATGAAAGGCTCTGTAGGTGACTAGTTTTTGCACTTAAGAAGTTTTGGGTATGCAGCTGAAATTTTTTCTTACTGTATGCAAACAACATGCACACAAAAGAAGAAGAGGAAAAAAACCTAAGAGAAAGACATTACTGTGGAAAAAAGCTGATGCAATCCTCCCAGATGAGGCCCTGAAGTTTTAGTGTTAGACTTTTGGAAGTAGGATGGGGTCATTATTTTAAGTTTTTCCAAGCAAAATTTGCTAGTACTTGGGTGCTCACTGGGCCTGGAAAGGGGGATGTGTAGAAGCCCCATAGTGAGCCTCTAAGCCCTCACTCTGGGGGAAGAAAAGAGGGGCACAAGTCAGGGGTGGCAGCAGCCTTGGTCAAGGATAGTGCTTGTAAGAATTGCTGACAAGACATAGTCTGTCAGAGCCTGACCTGAACTGCTTTACCCTGAATATTTTTGAGTCCACAAGACAGTTGTACGGAGAAATGCAGGTGTATCATTAACACTAGAGGAAACCTGGCTGATTTCAGTTGTATGGTCCCTCTTCCTCCTTACTCAACCCTGTTGCCTATTAGCTTTTCACTAATTTGCTTTATTTTTTTATTTTCACTAATTGCTTTATTTTAAGACTGAGGTTTCCAGTGATGTTTTTTACTATTTACAGACTTAGATATTTGTATGAAATCTGTGTCAAAACCTCTGGGGCAGGTTTGGAAAATTTCAGCTCAAATGAAAGCTGTTCCCAAGAGGACCCTGTCATGCTATGATTGTAATGTTTTAAAAAAAGAAAGCTGCTGCTTTTTAGCATACATTCTCAGTATTTTGTAGACTCTAAATGGCCCAAGATGGGATATGTCACAGTATATAAAATATGAAAGCATGTCTGTCTTTATGATGTCTTCACTTCAAGTCTTTCCCAGATACAGTGATCTTTTGGTTAACATCAGCTTTTGGTACCATGTAGTCAGTAATAATGTAGCTCTCTTGTCTGATGGATTATAGAAAATGCCAGCCAAAAAGATTGCCATATGATAACTTGATTTCTTTTCCTTTAAATCTTTGCTGCATTTCCCACAGGAACAATAACACCTGCTGATGAAAGGGAGAAAGCTGACAAATGAAATCTTCCACACTGTTGTACTGAGCAGAATGTAATTTTCTACAAATTAGGGTCAGCTACATGTGTAGATAGCTCCCTTTTCTTTTTCCTAGGGAAAATTCATTTTCCTACCCTACAGGGAACTGAATGGCTATAACTAGGGTGATACATGATGTAGGGATAAAACTGAAAACAACAGAAAATCCCTATTTCTTTCAGGCAATTTAGTGGATCACTTGGTGAAAATGATGGCACAAAAGGGAAATCACTATGTAGAATATTGCAGCAAAGTCAATTTTGGAGCTTTGTAAATCACGAGCTAAATTTAGGGTGATGATTGGGCAGTCAGGATTTCCTGTGCATCTGTGAATTGAATTCAGCAACTTTCTGGCTTTATTGGAATAATTTGACACCTACATAGGTAGAAAATAGGCTTTGAGACAACACAGCAAAGAACTTGCATGTGTGTTCTGGGTGCTAATTGTCCAAACATGTGTCTTAAAATAGCAGAAAAAGTTGCTGCTTGAATGAATAAATACAAGCTTGATAGATTAATTATGTATACTTACGATTTGATTCTGCAGTCATTACAGCATGGGTTGCATGTCTACAAATATTCTGAACATCCCTGAAGTAAAGACTCTTGACTAAATATAAATTGCAAGACCTGGGATTTCTTCCTAGCACTGCATGCAGGTGGAAACTCCCAACTGTTTCTTAACTTCATGTCAGATGAAACCAACTGCGTCTTCTCCCTCTCACCCCTAAGCTCTGACTTGAGTGGAAGAAACAGAGGCAAGTGGAGTAGAAAGGGGAGCAGAAAGGAGTCACAAGGTCCATGATTCCAGTTGGAAATTTGAAAAAGAGAGAGATCTTTATGTTTAATTGAAAATCTCCCTCATTATGCTTTGTGGTTTTGCCCTGGGGTATTTGCATATGGGAACATTCATTTTTGTGATCAAACCTTGGAAATGAAAGCTCTTTGCTAGCTGAATATCCATGTAAATACTTCGGGAGTTTAATTCTTCAAGCAATAACTTCTTCAGTAAAATCTTTGTCCTCTAAAAATCTATGACATTAAGGCCTTATCCTAGGATTTCTTTCTGCTCACTGGTTCAGCCTGAGACCATGCTGAGCGAAGTACCTTTTTGTTAGCTGGCTGAAGCATTTTCTGATCAGTGACTGCATAAACCTTTCTACTGAAGCAACCTTTCCATAAGCACATCCTTTCTTTACAGGTGCTTGGCTGGATCAGGAATGGTGAATCGATGCTGAATGCAAGCCTTGTCAATGCGAGCTCCCTCTCTGAAGCTGAGCAGCTCCAGCGAGAGCACGAGCAGTTTCAGCTGGCCATAGAGGTAACATAAATAAGTTAACTTTGTTTCTTCTTCTCAGGTGAACGTCATACAAAAAGTTATCTCTTGGCATCAATCGTTGCTTGCTTGAAGGAAGGGAAGGAATAAAAATTTTAGAAAATCAGCTTATCATTAAACTTGTAATGCAGCCAGAGGTTAACAGTGAAATAGATTATTTATCATCTGCAGCTAATTCTGCTGTCAGATGTCAGCCTTTCCATTCATGAAAATGACACTGTGCATCTCCTGATAATTTCTTTGGTAAAAAAATTAGAAGATTAAAATTCACAGTGATCTGAAAATGGGAAAATTTTGTGAAGTCGGTTTCCTCCCACGTCCACAATTTGCAGATAATTTCACAGCATTTATTTATTAATATCTTTGATATTGGATAATGCTCTCACATGAAATCTTTGTTTCATTCAACTCTCCTTTTGTAGACAGCAGAAGAGACATTCATTCAAACCCACATTCTCAAATAACTTTGAAGAAGTGGCAAGAGTGGCAATTTTTAAGAATTCCCTGCTAAACTGACCTTTCGCTCCTGCTTGCCCTGGAGTAACACATCTTTGACCTGGCCCTTGAAAACTAATTACGAGCCAGTTCATTTGCCTCACTCATGGGGCCAGGACATGGCAGGAGGAATAGCACGTCCTCCGAGCTGCTTTCCTCTGAATGAGGAGGTAGTGGAGGGCTGTGGACTCCCCTGAGTAGGGCACTACAAGACTCATAGTTAGGCTTAGTACTTTATATATCTTTGTCATTATGAACAAACCCTACACTCCAACAGTGTGCTCACTCTGGTTGCTAGAAAGGGGGTCTGTTGCTTTCTCCTATTCCTGCTTAACAAAGCATATATGCTTCCCAGATTATGTTAATTGTTGGCTTTTTACAGAGCAAAGAACAAATTGGAAAATCCCTTTCTGTGGTTTATAGATACTTGAAAATCATGAAAACTAAACCAGACTTTAAACTATGAAAATGATATATCCAAAATGGAGATTTGAAGAGATGCCTGATTTAGGAAGGGAAAAGTGCCTTCATGTCTTCTGGTAAACATTAAATAAGTCAATATACATTATAGAGTTGCTAGTAAGTATAGAGTTTAAATCTCAGCTAATGACCTGTTTTGATCCAGCTCCACTCACACTAAGGAAGGAGCAGCTATTGCAGCTCCTAAGGGAAAAGGACAAAGTTTTCTATCAATTTTGTACAAACTGGCTGGTACCAAGCTGTGCTGACCACATCTTGGCAGCCATCACCAGACAGTGGTGGGGAACAAGACACCCTCCGGCTGTGTTATCGCAGCTTGCTGCTGTTGGGGAAGTGCTTGTATTTGGTGGTAAATGCAAATCACAGAGGGAGAAGAGGGTTACGCCACAGTAAGGGGAAAATAAGTTTTCAAAGGGAGAAAACACTAGATTAAATATTTAAAGTGATTAAAGCTCAATATGGGGAAGAGATCAGCAAAGCACACAGGGCGGACTGTTCTCCAAAGGCCTTCTAGATGTGGAATTGATTTTCAGTTGAAATCCTTTAAAGTCTATTTAAAACAAGTATTACAATTCTAACATCAGTTAAGCAGCTGGATATTAAATTTAACCAGTTGTTCTTGAACATCTTCCTAAATGTTTCTGCCAAGTATTAATCCTTTTTTTGCAAATAGCTTTCTCTACGTTGCATTATTCATCACTGTATTACCAGATGATTTCAAGCTTCTTTCCAGGTTCAAGGATTAGATCATAAAAGTATCACATGAGAATTTGTCAGCAGCAGTTACAAATGGGATGCGGAACAGAGGAGTCTTTGGGAGATTTTAGGGCTTCTATTCAGAAGATTAAAGTCAGATATTGGACTAAACCATGCCTGAACACATTTACTCAGGAGGCTGTGAAAGGCTGGGGGCTATTTTCCTCTCAGAGGAAGGTGTAACTACCACTTGGTTACTCTGAGAGGAGCTGGTGTAGGCAGGGGAATGGGGCAGATAATTGAGTGCTGCCTGTAAAGTGGCTACTGAGTAAACTGGAGAAGAGTGGAGAAAACGGCTTGACTCCCCCAGCTGTGGCCTTAAAGGTAGCATAGTGTAGCTCCAATATGAGTGAGCTGACTTTCAGAAATTTATCTTGTAGGGGCTGATATTTGTGATATAGTTCATGCTATTTAGTAAGGCGTCTTCATACCTTCTGGGGTTGGTGTTTTGCATCCTGCGGACAGGACAATCACATGCATGAGTAAAGCTGCTGAAGCCAGCAAACTGCCTGGCAAGAGTCAAATTGGGAAGATTAGGCCCGTAGTTTGCCAACTCTTTGGTTTTGTATCTGCAGATAGTGTGGATGCAGTCAGCACTGAGTACAGACTGGATGTGAGCTCGGCACAACAGCTGCCTGCGTTGGGGTTGTCAGAATGGATCCACTGGGAGCCCTGCCCTGGGTTGTTGCCCAAGGGGCAGTAGCTGATCAGTAGAGCTAACCCGTCTTAGCTGGTGTTTGCTTGTCCCAAGCTTCAATAACATGTTGCAAATGTGTGTGAATAATTGAAACTAAAATGCTTTGCAGAAAGTAACTATTAACTGAAGATAACTCTCTGAAAATGTTTCACTCTCTCATATCTCCATGCTCACACCTCGCTTCACCTTTCTACCATACATCTGGCACATCTATACAACCTCTCTTTCCTCCCCTCATACACAGTCCCTCTTTCATGCCACTTCCTTACAGAAGACACACCAGAGTGCCCTGCAGGTCCAGCAGAAAGCTGAAGTGTTGCTACAGGCTGGGCATTATGATGCTGATGCTATCAGAGAGTGTGCCGAAAAGGTGGCCCTGCACTGGCAGCAGCTGATGCTGAAGATGGAGGACAGGCTCAAACTTGTCAATGCCTCGGTGGCCTTCTATAAAACCTCTGAGCAGGTGAGCTGAACGGTATCATATCTGTGCTGTAGCATATTGCTACAGCCTGGGATTTAGCTCCCAGTGTATAGTGTGAAGGTCCTGACTCTCACCAAGATCGGCACAGAGTGCTAACAGTTCCAAATACCTGCTCTGCCAATACCACTAAGGAGCAGTGCTCATTCTTCTCCCTTTTTCTTGAGTAATCCCAAAAGTAGGAAGAGTGTGGCTTTAGTCAGCCCTGCTTGCCCTTAAAAGCTGCCCTTTGTCTTTTTACATAAGTTAGCATGTCTCCATCCACACATTAGGTGCATATAAACCTTTCTGTCACCTGAACAGGGCCACTGTTGAGCCCTCAGATGACTCCCAGCTGGTAAACACCAATGTGAGTGTGCTCCGCGATGTAGCGGTTCTGGTAGGTGTGGGTTTTCTACTCTGGTCCTGAGTGTAGAGGGCCTTCTGCCAGCAAGGGATCTCACAGCATTGGCAAAATTAACTGAAAGGACATTTGCTCCATTGGCATAGCAATGCTGAGCCACACATGGAAACCAAAGTTTGAACTAGTCAAAATGGTTTCTTTGACAAGTATTGTAAACAAAAACAAACAAATGAAAAAGCAGCAGTTTGCAATAATTTTCATCTTAAACTTTTCAGTGAAGCAATGGAATTCTTGAATTTTATTTTTTTTAATTGTCCCCTTTCCAACGAGAAGAATTTCTGACATCCCACCATTTTTGTTTCAAGTTCTCATGATATCAGAGTTAATTTTGAGGAATATAAATCTGCTTTTCCTTGAGAACTACTTGCCATTAGTTAATTGTTGCTTTGTAAGCAGTACTAGCCAGTGTTTTCACTAGTTGTTAAACACCACCATGCTGAAAAAGATGCCAAGATATGAAGGGATTTCTCTTAAATCCATCTGCAACATGGATAATTACAGCAGTAGCCATTATATATTGACACAACTTTACTTCATGCTGGGTGTCCCATGAATTGCAAAACACATTCTATTTGGCTGCTGGTACGGTGGGATTATTCATCCCTTGCACAAACAGGTGCCATTTCTACTGTAGTCAGTGAGAATTAGTGTCACAGCGTGGATACTCAAATAGCCTTGCCCGATGTAATTTACTGCAGCCAGGCAGTTTGTGTTAGCATGGACATTGCAGGAACCTGTGGTTTTATACAAAAGGCAGTAGTGACTTCCATTAAATTTTCTATTGTTATTATCACACACTTAGTTCCTCAATTAGAGAACCAGACGTGGGAAGTTTTTTAGCACAACTAAATATATCATAAGGGAAACAGATTATTTTTTTCTTAACATTGAGGCTGTAGATGATCCATAGGCCACTTTTTGGTGTCGTTTGTTTAACGCATTTTTAAGATTGTTTAAGATGAATTCATTCCTTATAATGAATGTCTTTCACTGTGAAGAGTTTCAAACAGATTTACAGTCCCTGGTGCATTCAAGATTGAAATGAATTACTGCTGGTGGAGGGTTGTGAGAAATGAAAACCATTAAGGGATTCATTAGTGCCTTGGACAGTCAAATGTGCTGGCCAAAATATGCATAGCCGGTAATTTATCAATTCAGTCTCTCTTCCTGTTTCCAAGTCACAGACAAGCATACTGCAGTGCCCACCAGTTCATTCATTAGTTGTGTCTATTCAGCAAATGTTTAGGGCAAAGATCATTCAGTCTTTGAATGCTCATAAACTCACTGCTGCAAGTAGTCTGTCGTCTGCTCTTGGGCTGCACGACTGATCTACGGTCCTTAACAGTCTGCTCCCTGACTGGATGACAGTGGATTTGAGTAATTTACTGGATCCTGAATTCTCTGAGTATCTAGAAAAAGCAGCTAAAAGGGTGGAGAGACTGTCACAACCAGCCAAACTTTTTCATGCCTGTCTTCCCCAAGCATGCTAAGGTTTTGATGTAACTGGTGAAGCCCTGGCTTTCAAATAGCCCCATTTCTCTCTGACTTCATTGACAGCCCACTTTATATTAATTTCTCTCATCATCTTAACAGAGAGACGATATTTGCATGTGCAGGGACCATCCTTTCTGGACAGATGTGGATCCCAGGCAGTCCGTATTCTTTCAGTTTTTAAGTTACTAAAGCCCAATAGAGTGCCAAGGTTTTCAAGAAGTAAAATGGAAATGCTTTTCTGTGCCTAAATAACATGTAGGGCACTTGCTCTCCAATAAGTGTTTGAGGGTGAATGCTGCTTTGCATCCAAGCAAGAAGATGATTTCTGATTCTCAAATGCACAAGGTCCTTTAACAGACTGGCAGCAGGATAAGTTTATCAGTTCACCTCAGCTCACCACTTTTAAAATGGAGTTTGATGTGTTCATGAATGGAGTTACACGAAAATGGCCTGTGAGAGTGGAGAGGATTGGTGGATGATGCTGTCGTCTCTTCCAGACTACGCTGTTAATCATGTGGGGTCCTCTGAATTATAAATATGTTCATATGAAAGTTGCAGAAGTGAGCGAGAAAAGGGTGAACGCGTTTAGCTGGACCCCTAGCAATAACTGACTGGATCTTGAGTAATCTCAGCAAGGGAGTGTATAGGAAGAGCCCTCTGGGAGAGAAGAGGAAAGTTCCAAATGTTCTGGAAAACTTTTGCCATTTTTTCAGTGTCTGCACAGGCAACTGAGAGTATTCTCAGGGTCTGCAATGCAAAAGACTCAGCCTTGTCTGAGGCCACTGCACGCAGAATTTTCAGACTGTGTTGGTTTATTTGCCTCGTTCCCATTATTCTACAAAGATAGAAGATACGCTTGTAAGCCCTGTACAGTAGAGCACCTGCATCCACCTAGGTTGCAAGTCTGATTTAATGTCTATTGGTTTCCATCAGTCTTTACAAAAGCTGCACAGGGAGCAACTAACTGCAGCTGAAAAGAATTAGTTCCAGCCTCAGACTTTGTTTCAGGAAAGTATTTAAGCATGTGTTTTTCTTTAAGTGTGTGCTAAGTCCCTTGACTTCAGTGGGGTTTAAACACATCTAAGGCACCCTTCCGGAATAGGGATTGTTTCCTGAATGATCCACTGGGGCAGACTGACCCCTGCCTTGATTCAACCTTTTGAGCTCCCCCCGCCTCCTCCCCCACCTTATCCATTGGAAGAGAAGAAGGATTTATCACCCTTAAATCAGATGAAGTGTATCCCAAACAGTAGAGATCCCCATGGGTAAGAATAACTGCTAGATCATTCTGTCCAGGGCCTGTTTCATACCCAGTTATCCCCATGCCGTGGCCCACAGTCCAAAACATTTAGATTTGAAATGTCATTGGTCATAGACTTTTGCTGACTATGATTGTAGATAACTGAGTTATTGTGCTGTGGGCATGTTTCAGGTGTGCAGCGTATTAGAGAGTTTGGAGCAAGAATACAGACGGGATGAAGACTGGTGTGGAGGTCGAGATAAACTTGGACCAGCAGCTGAGATAGACCATGTTATCCCTCTGATCAGCAAACATCTGGAACAGAAGGAGGCTTTTCTCAAGGTCTAATTTTAGTTCTCTGATAATCAGGAAAATTCCCTGTTAATTAGTTGATTTAGAGCAGTGTTGGTGAGTTTGAGAGGAGGCTCTGAGGTGTCATTCCAGTTCAGGTGCTGGCCGGCTGTATAAACCCTAGGCCAGTTTCACACTGTTATAGTAGGGGTAATAAGCATTATCATCAATGCATATCTCAGAGAAGTGTCATCAGGACTAATTAGGTGGTATTTGCATTGCACTTGGAGGATGTTGGTTGTGCATTATAAATGACAGGTATTATGCAGTATTTTGGTGTTGGCTTCTACAATCCATCTGGCATTTCAAATTCTGTCCTCCAAGCCAATAACTGGAAAACTACTAATAACAGAAGCAATTGTGTCTCTGCAGGGCAGCACCAGGATGAAGACAGAGATTTCCTCCTGCCTTCCAGGTGCTGCTTCGTAAGAACTGTGGAGCTGACAGGCTGACAAATCAACTGACAGCCAGCCTCTCACCTTTCACTAAAGCTTGTATACAGTATGAAACTACACTTGCAGGCAAGGCTTAAGAAATTATGCCCCTAGATTGTGCATTTTTTGAAACAATGAGTAGTTTTCTTGAGAGATGAGTTAGCTTTGGTTAGATTGAAAATGTGTGATGTACTAGCTCTTTACAACCGATTGTCTTATTATTGTCATTAATTTGCCTTAATATATAGAATCAGCCACTATATTCAAAATCACTCATGTTTTAATACATTTATGAGGCTGTTAGTTTGTTAGCTGAGTTTATTGACTCTTAGCTGAAGCTGTCATGTTCCCAGATGAAAAAGAAGGGCTCCCCGCAAAATAAGCAGGGAACTCCCATGGGTCCCCTTTGCTTTTGTTGCTCATCTTTACTGATTCTTTTTGCTGGGGGCTGTTTTTCTTAGGCCTGTACACTAGCACGAAGGAACGCCGAGGTATTCCTCAAGTACATCCACAGGAACAATGTCAGCATGCCCGGAGTAGCAAGCCATACGAGGGGGCCCGAACAGCAAGTGAAAGGTTGGTGCACTGGTGCAATGACAGCATTGAAGATTTTGTTTGCTTCCCCCTCTGCTGTATGGTCATCCTAAAATTTGTGAACGTGCTGAGAAGGCACCTTAAGTTTTGCCATCTGCTGTCACTAAAATGATATATATGCCTGCCACCCTTAGCAATGGTAGTGAGACCAATCAGAAAGTGATCCCTCCTCTGCTAGGCACGAGTTCTTATACAGAACTCTCCTGTTGCAAGTGGTAGTGGGGGAAAAAAGGAAAGGGGTTTGAAACACGGACTTTCTCCAGCTTCCCTTGTCAGGAAAGTCCATGGGAGTAACACTGTGCCATCCCCCATCATGTAGGTTGTCAGCTGAGATGATCAGACATCGTTTTACCTTGATATCTAAAAATGCATAAACAAATAAGCACATGTCAAATACAAGGTCTAGATGCATCCTGTTGCTCCTGAGCACTCGAAAACAACGAACCCCAGACTTGTTTGTCTCTAGGATGGATCTGCTACTTTTTTGTCCCTGGAATCCTATTTGATGTCCTATCACATCAAACAATCACCAGCAAAAGTATCTGCCTGTAGTTACTTTCCTTTGGTCACAAGAGCACCATTTACTATCAGATAATACATCTGAGATGTTTGAAACCTTTCCACTCCTCTGCTTAATTAAACAGTTGTTAATCTGTGCCTAGCAATGCTGCAAGGTACTGATAAGAATGAGCAAAGTGATTCTACAGAAATAAACCATTTTTGTTATTGGCTTTCTTACAAGCTGCAGAAAGATACAGGTTAAAAGTAGTGCAGTCATTATATATGTGGGAGGGATGGGAACTTTGGTTATACACAGAAGATGAAAATGGTGCTTCTGAAGAGATTCTTTTCCTTCCTTTCTTCCAATACCAGTTCTTCAATGTTAACATGACTTTGTTCAACTTTGCCCCGCTACTGTGCCAAATTCTTGTTGTTGTGGACTTTTGTTCCCTACAGTTGAAAACCATGGGGAAAATTAATTAAACCCTGACTCAGCAAGCCCTTAAATATGCAACTGATATAAGCTTGTGACTGTTCCTCACTGAGCTTGTTTGAAATGACTCACTTATATAAAAATCAGCTTGTATATTAGTTTTTTTCTAAGCCAAATGTGTAATTCTTAGGCTTGGTGACTCTATCCACAGAAAATCTTTGAAGTGGACACTTTAGTTCAGAATAAAAGCACCATTTAGTAGGACTGTGCTTCCAAAACAAAGTCAGTAATACGGAACAGAATTGGTCTTATTTGGCATAAACTGTTTATGCAGAGACCCGATCTAGAGCACCCATAACAAACTTCAAGTTCCTTTTGTCAGTCAAACAAAGTTCCCATTGTCCTGAGCAGGGACCGGGCTAGGTTTTGCAATTAACTTAAGTATTACAGATTTTTTTGACCATAATCAGTGTCACACTTGTAACTGGGGAGGGGATACATCCAAATCTGTTTGCTGCCACTAATATTGATACATAAGCAATGAATATTGGTACATTCAGAAAGGGCTTAGGGTGAGAGAGGTTATTAACAGGTGCTGTAAATGATCCTAAGTCACTGTAAGTGGTTGAGAAGCCAGACTCAATGTTTTAATATAAAAGAGAGTAATTGCTGCCTAGGCTGCGTGTGCCTGTGGTGGATGCTCCGCTTTGAGGACAGGGATAGTTTAGAGGACCAATACCAGGCCTCAACCCAAAATCATAGCCTAGCAGTAACTGCATGGGGAGCACACATAGGGTCACCAGGCAGCACAGGTGTACAAGAAACCTTACCAGGTATGTCAAACTAGGGGCTCAGGTCTGAATTAAATTCAATCATGACCAGACCTCTGCATGGCACACTAGGCTTTGGTGTCAAGTGCTGCGTAGCCTGTGGCCAGAGCAGCAGACAAGGCAGTAAAAGGGCAACTTCTCCTGTGTCAACCTGTACAAGACTCCTGAAATAAGCAACAGAAGAGAATGAAAGACCTAGAAATCATGTACCCCAGTGTATTTGCTAGGGTAAATCCCAAACTCTGTTCTAGCATCTTCTCCTTTACCAGATAATCCTGCAACTACACTTTTTTTTTGTGGTGTTTGTTGGGGGTTTTGATTTGGTTTGGTTTTTGGTTTTCTTTGGTTTTGTTTTTTTTAAAGCAGCCTCTTTGAATCAATGCCTGTTTTTAAGAAGTACAGTCTCAGGGACTCTGCTCTTGGGAATATGGTCCAGGCAGAGTGAGTAAATTCAGCTTTTTGTGGCTTATTTCTGTATGCACTGACAGAATCACTAATCACACAGATGTTTTCCTTTGTCCTACAGCCATTCTGAGTGAGCTGCTGCAGAGGGAGAACCGGGTCCTTCATTTCTGGACCCTGAAGAAGCGGAGATTAGATCAGTGCCAACAATATGTTGTCTTTGAGCGTAGTGCCAAGCAGGTAGTGTAAAAACCCCACTTCGTCTTTCTGTCCTGGCAGTATGTAAATATTTCCTGTATCTGTGTAATGCCTATGTGGGGTTCCTGTTGCAATCTCAAGTTGTATTTAAAAACTGTAACTTTTGAAAACATGGCAAATGTAGATTTTTAAACCAATTTGAGAAAATTCCAAAACCCAGCAACAAAACTCAGTATTTTTTCCAGGCCAGATTAATTTCTGGATTTGTTCATTTGTTTGAAAATAGATATAAGAGCAAACTTGTTTTATTGAGCTGTTAATGAGAACACTGCTTTCCCTGCATGCAGATTTATCTGTATATAGGTAGAATTTTCTCCTTTTTGCACTAGGAACATACAGCACCTTATGTATCCTCTCCCACCTGCTTTGATTACTGCAATATTTTTATGTGTTCTTAGAAAGTGTTTTAGTATACGCAGTATTAAGTCCCAATGGATTTGATATCCTTTATTTGGCAGATTTTTTTTTGTCAGAGGATTAGTTCTTGAAATACAAAGATTGTTTGGTTTATTTTTCCTTTGGTTATTTTTGACATTCACAGGCCTTAGACTGGATCCAAGAAACAGGCGAATATTACCTCTCTACTCACAACTCCACAGGGGAATCAGCAGAAGAAACTCAGGAACTCCTGAAGGAATATGGGGAATTCAGAGTACCTGCCAAGGTAAACAGTGACTTTAATCTAATTATGGCATCTGCCTTAGTCTATGTTTATGATCCTGTTTCAGTGCCTTAATTCTCTGTAATAATATTCTCTTGATTTTGTATTCTCTTCCTGACATTCCTAGCCCAGGAGATAAATGTCTTTTGAAAACTGTGGTCTTTCATTTTTAGCAAGACATAGGCACAAAAAGGAGGTTTTCTCCCCCTTAGTCTGTGCTGCTAATGGACCATTTTTGTTCTAATCAGAAGGAAGAGAAAGTCCCCATTTGTATACAGAGTTCACAGCAAGCTGATGAGACATACCCTGATTCCATCCTCAAAGAATCATACAAGAATGGTATAAAGTAACTAATTGATCTGAATATATACAAGGTCATCTTGGATTCCCTGTCTCTTTCTTCTGTCGTTACAACCATGATTTGTTTCATTAATTCCAGCTGGGTTCATCACAGATGATCATTGATCTCATTAGAAATAATCTGCTGATCCCAACAAAATACTTGAAATAAATGGGTTTGTAAACTCTGGAGTGAATGTTTTTGAGTACAAAACTGCATTACCAAGAATCTTTTAATTTATATGGAGCAATTCTGAGAAATCTGGTGGAGTTTACAGAGGAATGGTGATTGCATCTGCTTCAGACAAATTAATTCAAACCATAGGTAACTCACAGACAGTGAATCCACGGGGGTATTAACAGTCACTGATAAGGATCTAAATTGCAAAGTCGGACTGCAGCAAGACCATGGCTTTGGTATTATGTAGCTTCATTTCACTGTGTCCTCAAAATTGATCTTCTGTAATCCTTAAATTCCTCATTAGGCTGTCCATGCTTGCATGGGTTTGATTCACAGGCTTTGTGGTGTTCTTGTCCTCTTCCTTTTTAGTTAGCTTGCATGTTTGTGAAAATGGGAGATAACTGGCAATGGAGGGAAATTAATTTAATCATACAGGACCCATACAATATTCCTTTAACAGGACTTCTGGACTCTAACCACCCATAATCAATCTGCCTGAAATCACATTCCAGTTTATAATTTCATTTTGATCAGAATGATCCCAATTCATCCTGAAGTTTCCAAACTATTTCTACTCTTTACTTAGCCTAGGATTGAGTTTTATACATTGTTCCTTGTTGACCATCACTGGCTGTTCCTCACAGTGCTGCATCTAATCTTACTCCCTAGGGCTGTAGTAAATCACTTTCCTACTGCTGACCTAGAATATTTTCACTGCCACGTGCAATCTGGTAAATTCGTGTCACTCCCAGACTGTTATTCTCAAATGAAGCTGTAACTGAAAGCCTTCCTGATCCCAGTAACTTTGTGGTCAAACCAATTGTTTGGAAAGCAAAAACATCAGTAGCTTTGGAGAATGAAACACCCTTTAAAAGTAACAGGAAGTCAGATTTTTATTTCTCCATACCTAGCCTTGCTTAAGTACTCAACTAATTTGTTAAGATGACCTCTGATTCAGCTGTTAGTTTATTTTGCTGGTGAAATTTCTTGGATTTAGTTTTGGTTTTGAAATTTGCTAGATGTTTTCTGCTCTGACATGCATTTGTCCATTTGTGGGCAGACTGTTGATAATGTCAAGTACCTGACAGCATGTCTTGCTTCAGACAGAGTGGAAAATTCTCCCCATCTCTGAAAAGCAGCTTGCCAGTACCTCTGGGGATACAACTGATTCTTCTTTTGCTTTTGAGGATTAACATGTGCATTACAGCTGGATTGCAGCCTGTACAGTTGATATCTCAGTTTTTATAAGCATTTTGTACTTGAGTTGGCTCAAACATAGGGTTCAGGCACCTTCAGTTCCTGGGATAGATTTGGAATCTAAGCTAAAATTTCTAACTAGCTCCTTTGTGCCAGATTTGCTCAAAGATCCTCAACATGGAAAACCATAGCGACTAAGGGGCAGTCAGAGCCCAAGTGGCACAGAAAAGATCTCTTGAAGGTTTGGGGGCTCAGTGTGTGTTTTGGAGTTCAGGCATCTTTCAGTTTGTAATGCTCTAACTGGAACTAAAATACTGATGAAGGATTTTATAGTAGACCAAGAATTTGGATTTAAATTCTGTTTGTTTCTGAAGCAGAGTAGTAGTGACTCAAACTCACTTCCTGGGATGATATGTGGTGTATTAATGACCTGCCTACACAGGTCTGCAGAACCACCTAGGTATAGATTCAGAGTAACTTAGTGTATTTTATGAGGTGTGATTTTTAAATCCTGTCTTCTCCAAGGCTCACAAAAAATAAGTTTTTGGTTATGGGAAGGAGGCATGTCTAACTTCAAACATGTTTTCCTTAAGTGTTTGTGTGTGTGTGGTTTCAAAAACTTGACTTTTTCTATCTCCTGCAGCTTCATAAGTGTCCTTATAAAAATGTCATTCCTTTCATGTTTTACTGGGCAAAGTTTAAAGCATCTGATTCTGTATAAAATGAAGTACAGGCACTCTTTAATGATGTATAAAAAAATAGCGAGCTGCTTCTGACTGCTGTGTGAATTAAAAACAAAGGAAATAATAACAATGCAACATAACTGAGCACCATATTTTGGGCAGCAAACAAAGGAGAAAGTGAAGCTCCTCATCCAGCTGGCTGACAGCTTTGTAGAAAAAGGACATATACACGCCACTGAAATTAGGAAGTGGGTCACCACTGTTGACAAACGCTACCGTGACTTCTCTCTCAGGATGGGGAAATACCGCTACTCCCTGGAAAAAGCCCTTGGAATCAATACAGAGGTACTGTAAGTCCATGTCCTGTTGGGGTTTTATACCAAAGCTGAAAGTCACAGAGGGAAGTGAAGGCTATGGTATGAATGCTGCAGGTTATTGCGTGTCCATTAGAAACCCTTAAAACGCAGCCAGCCTACCTAGCGAAGATCAGAACTGTTTCTGAAGAGAAAAAGTTTTTTTGTGGCGGATCAGTGATATGAGGAGGAAACAGAAGATCAGAAAGACTTTCTAAACAAATATTTGCACTGTTCTCCAGGAGACCATACAGCTACTGAGAGGGAGGGGGAAACACATTACTTGAATAAAAGTCTGTGTTAATTTTAGCATAAGCCATAAATCCTGCTCCCACACCATTATTTTGAATCAAACTCCGGCTTTGACTGTAAGTTTCCATTCTCTCATCCTTTAACTAACCAAAAAATTGATCCCCAATGTCAGCTCTGAGCTTTTTTAGGTGAAATGGAGCAACACAGGAGAAACAAAAATTAGAACCTGCTGCTATTCCCTGGCCACAGTATTAAGGGGAAGCGCCAGAAGCAGAAACACTTAAAAACCTTTCAGTCAGCCATCCTTCAAAATTAAGTATCAAAGAAAGAGGAATAAATTCCCTCACTTACACCCTCAAGATATCTTAAATATACTGTTCCTTGTAGGAACACAAAGTTACTAACCACAGTCTGGAAAGGTATTTCCATGGCAGAAGGCCATTGGAAATTGGGATTATCTCTGCATAGTGCTTTACTTTATCAGACTATTTGTGAAGTCCCATACTAGGCAACTAATTTAGATGTGAAGCAGTAAGGTAAAATTTAGACATTTGTCATTAATACCTGTTCCTAGATAGGAGGAACAGTGAAGACTAATAAATCTCATAACTGGTATTTTTTAAGACTTCTCTCTCACCTTCTTCCCTTCTACCTTCTCACTGTAGTTCTAAATCTGTTTGAATTTCCTTCTTTCTGACCTTGGTATCTTTATATTTCTTTTGTCCCTTCTTATCCATTTGATCTCCTGAACATGTTACATTTTGTCAACAGTAGGATTACAATGAATTTAAAATCTGTACTGTCATTTTTTTCTAGGATAACAAGGATCTAGAACTAGATATTATTCCAGCAAGTCTTTCAGACCGGGAGGTAAAGCTGCGAGATGCAAATCATGAAGTCAATGAAGAAAAAAGAAAGTCGGCCAGAAAGAAAGAGTATGTCCCCAAACGCTCACAGTCTGCCATGGCATATTATCTAAGAGTGATTCCATGACATTTGCATGACCAGGACTTACTGACAGTCTTATAACTCCTTCCAGCTGCAGAGCTATTGACAGAAGTCTACAGGTGTGGGGCAGAAGTTGTGACTTGTAGGCTAGAGAATTTCAGAACATACAGGTTGCATTTCTTTTGGTTTTAATCAGAAGTTACTTTTGGAAAGGGAAAGGAGTGAGTCAAGCACTTTGATGAGACCCTGATGTCATGGAGATACTCATTGTCATGATTTCTTTCTGGCTGTATGTGAAAAGTAAAATGAACAGGAAAAAATGAAAAGCATCTTTATATGTCTAGGTATTATCTAAACTCCAATGACATCCAGAGGAGTTAACTGGGTTTCAGTGACACAAGAGTTCACTCGAAGTTTAGGTTCAAATTTCAGTGGGTGTAGAACTGAGATAACTGGAAATATTTCATACTAAAGGAAATATTTGGAGAGCGCTTGTTGCACTTAAATCTAGAAACAGACTTATTTCACAGTATTTTGTCTTAATTTTTGTGTGAGAATATTCTGGAAAGCGTTTGTATGTACCATCCTTCTCAGCCCTCTGAAATTGTCACTACAGTGCATAACCTTGATAACTTTAGAGAACAGTGATTACACTTGGTCTGCCTGTGGCACATTTTCAAAACATTGGGCATTTTAACTTTGAGCTGCCCAGCCTCAGGCACTACAGATGTCATTGTTGGGCTTCCCAGCAGTCTGGATTTTCTCCTTTCAGATACCAAGCTGAGGAAGCCTCTTCAAAGTAGTGGTGTCTCCCAAATCCATCTGTATTTCCAATGGAGGTCAAGTTTCAGGGTGATTTACCACTATTAGTGAAGGTGCAGGTAGTGGTGTTGAATCTCAAGTCCTTACTCCTGGGGAAAAAAAAAAAAAATTCGGAGAATCAGTTGACTGTTAAGGATGGGCATGTAGATAGTATATCACAACTCAGGGTTGCAGAAATATGACTTAATAGAATTTTATGCAGAAAAGATATTTAGAAAATAACCCTACAAGGGACTAGAGTATGAAGTGGTGTTTCATTCATGGAGCTGAACAGTGCAAAGTAAGGCAGCTGAAGATTTAGAGTGGAAGTACACTGATTCATTAGGACAACAGAAGGCTATTTTGTTTTCTATTCATTGCAAAAATGCTTATAATGTCCAAAACACCTGAAATACTTTCTTTTTTCCAGATTCATTATGGCTGAGCTGCTTCAGACGGAAAAAGCTTATGTCAGGGACTTACATGAATGTTTAGAGGTAAGTTACAGCCTGGGAAATCTCTGGTATTTTCAGGAAGGACGTGGTATCCTTTGCGGTGGTGATGTTCCCTGTACTGCAAAGGCTGACCTTGACAAGAGTCTGTGTGAGGGTACCACCGTTGGTGGCCACCCACAGAGCTGTGTCCTGCTGGTGGTGGGAGCTGGCTGGGCAGCAAAGGGAACTTGTCTCCCACTGGCAGAACTGTGCCCTGTACTCCCCAGGCTTGGCTGTAAATGCCTGCACCTCCTGGGACACCTGAGTGCGCCTTTATTTACAAAGCTGTGCTCACCCCTGCAGAGTTAGAGCAATGTCCTGGGACACAGTAAAGAGCAATATATTTGCACGTTGACCTGAAATTTGCTGGTTTCTATTTTATTTTGAATCATGGAGCATTTTCTTAAGAATTCAAATCTATTCCTTTGGATCATCTCATCCTAGAGAAAGAGCTGGATTTGCACAGTCAAATAGCTTGCCTAGCTCTACAGCAGGATGTTCCTGAAGGGGACTGTGAATTCAAGGCAAAAAGCACAGTGTATTTCAGTGAAATCTGTCAGCTTTCACATTCCTGAAGTTTGAAAGAGATTTTTATGTATCTAATGCTACTGAAGTGGCAAATCCAGCTTATCTTTCAACTGTTTCTGCTTGCAGTTTTTGGACACCATCAATTGGACAGCAAAGACAGGTGTTGTTGGCATGTTTCTGCTTTTTCGTCAGACAACTTCTAAGTGTCAGCAATTTGAATTTCTCTGGAGAACTTTCTGTGACACTGGAACATTTGTTTTTTTAGCTTGTTTGTTTAATCTCAAAGTGCATAGTTCCCTTGTCAGCCTGTACCTTTAGCAATAAAACAGGGAGATTGATTCTTTTTCACTGCATTTATTCGCAAAGCTAAGAATTGCTGGTGTCTTCCAGACTTACCTTTGGGAAATGACAAGTGGAGTGGAAGAAATACCCGCTGGGATCCTTAATAAAGAACACATCATCTTTGGAAATATTCAGGAAATATATGACTTTCATAACAAGTAGGTTTTCCTAACAGTTCTGTTAATGTTTACTGACTAAGGAAGCCAAAGGCATGTGTATACCTATACATCTATGTGGTGCCTGCAGTGAATGCCATCAGTACAATGCACAAAGGAGTGTAAAGTAATTGATCCAGATTTGCGAAATAATGTTTGATTTCTTTTTTGTTTCTTTTACACAAATGAATTCCATCTTAGTTTAAACTTTGCCTTCAGGTGATTAACAATGTTAAAGTCATATTATACCAATGCTCTGTAGTCCTACACTTGCTTTCCATCTCACAGTACTAGATCTAGTCTGGACGCTTGCCTGTTAAAACTATGATCTCTTGGAAAACACGAGAGGAAAAAAAGGAATGGTTGACATGAGCTAGGTTAATAAGTAGCTTTCCTGCCACTTCTTGGAGACTCTCTGTATTTAATCTGTAACTAACAGTACTCCATTTTGTCAAGATAAGACTGTATATCAGATCAGCTGAGAGGACATTTTTCCCTGCCATAATGTGCATGCAATAGCAGTTATAAACTTAAAATTTAGGGGTGCTGAGTACCACAAGTTCAGTCTGAATTTCAAAGTCTGTCTTCAAGTTACACATTAAAACCAACGCAGTTTGAAAAACAAATCAGAAAGCTGTTCACTGTTGCAGTTCTGGGAGACTTTCTCTGCTTCAGCCAGATAAATGCACCATCACATACACATAAATAATTGTGCAGCAGAGGCTGCCATATGCATCCTTGTGTGCAAGCAGCTTCAAAGCATATCAGGATAGTAGATTCAAACTACATATTACATTAAAAAGGCAGGACTAGGGAAGTGATCATCCCTTTGTACTCTGCGCTGGTGAGGCTGCACCTCGAATACTGTGTTCAGTTTTGGGCCCCTCACTACAAGAAGGACATTGAGCTGCTGGAGCGTGTTCAGAGAAGGGCAACGAAGCTGGCGAAGGGCCTGGAGAAAAAGCCTTATGAGGAGCGGCTGAGGGAGCTGGGGTTGTTTAGTCTGGAGAAGAGGAGGCTGAGGGGAGACCTGATCGCCCTCTACAACGACCTGAAAGGAGGTTGTAGCGAGGTGGGGGTTGGCCTCTTCTCTCAAGTAACAAGTGATAGGACAAGAGGAAATGGCCTCAAGTTGCACCAGAGAAGGTTCAGGCTGGACATTAGAAAGAACTTCTTCACTGTTAGAGTTGGTAAGCATTGGAATGGGCTCCCTAGGGAGGTGGTGGGGTCACCATCCCTGGAGGTGTTCAAAAAACGTTTAGATGTGGCACTTCAAGACATGGTTTAGTGGGCATGGTGGCATCAGGTATATGGTTGGACTTCATGATCTTTGAGGTCTCTTCCAACCATAATGATTCTATGATTCTGTGAACTGACTTCCAGCCCACAAGAATTGCCCTGTCATACAGGTAAATATTCTTCTCCCATTTAAAACTATGCTAGGATCACCCAATTGCCTTCTCACTTGCCCTCTCTTTGAGATGCTATATTTTCTTTTTAGCGACCCTGACTGATGCCATCTGATTACTCTCCTTTTTGACTTTCCCTCACTCCCAGCTACCACCCTTTGACCCTCAGTCATTCCCCACAGCTCCTTGCTGCTGTGATTTCTCCTTTCTGTGACCCATCCTCCTCCAGCTTGCTGCTTCTGCATAATCCTTTTCTCTCTAAAACTTCTAGCAACGTTAAAATAAATTGCCCTCCTATCAGGTCCACTAGCATCCTCCACAATCTTCTCCTTTGGCTGGTGATGTTCAGGCATCCCCCAGCCTGATTCAGGGCTGGAGGAACAGCACATTCAGTTACTTTTTCTCCAACTTTTGTTTGGTGTTCTTCTTTGTACAGGGCTCTATCTGCAAACAGAGATGTCAATCATGGTACACAGTGTTGGGAGAGAGTTGATTACAGAATCTGTATTTTGGGAGTTTAAGCTTGTTTAAATTGTTGTCCTCCGTCCAGTGTGCCAAGTTTGGTGACAGAAAGCTGACGGCTTTGGTTCTTCCGCTGAACCACTGCACAACATCTTTTTGAAGATTCATGGTCTGGTTCTTGAATATCACTTTGCAGTCCTGAATACACTGACTCCCTACTAGGGCTTGCTACCTTTTGCTTTCTAGTGGAGTTGGGCATGACTGTGCTCAAAAACTGAAGCATAGCTTGGCAAGGAGACACTTTTTCCACTGGCAGGACACTTGTATCTTGATTATGAGGCTAATCAAGTATTGATCGTTCACACTGATTAACTCATTGGTCATTCTGCTTCTCCTGGGTATTTGACCATGACTAATTATATCGGTGTCTTCTTTTTTCAGCATTTTTCTAAAAGAACTAGAGAAATATGAACAACTGCCTGAGGATGTGGGCCACTGCTTCGTCACCTGGGTAATGAGGCTTCTTATTTTCATTATTTATTCAAATTAATTCCTCCAGCATAGACGGAAATAAACTGAGAATTGGTGCAAGGGTTATGTCCTTAGGGATAAGTGAGATGAGGAGCTAATCTGGAATTATGACTGCTTTGTCCTTCACCTCTCCCAGGGTGAAAGGTTCCCTCCTTTAACTCTTCTCCTGAGCAATGGTGTGAAGGCTTTCCAGAGCCTCTCTCCTTGTCCTGCATGACCAGCATAGCTTTTACCTCTGCTAGTTCATGTTTAACAGGACTTCGTAAAAACAAACCTGTATTTAGACGTGACATTCATCTCTTTGTGAAGGGCCCTGGGAGGACAGACATTTAAAATCTTAGTATACCTTCCTTAGAGAATGTTAGTCGTGCCATGAGACCTCTACAAAGGTGTGAAAAACTTATTTTAACAACGTTTTTCTTCACAAATTAGTCTCAAATTGCTGAGTCATTGTGCTCTCTCATTCCATTACTCAATGCCAGGATAATTTCTAACACGACTTTGAAATTTTGATGCTAAGAGTCTTCATGGGCATAGGAGGCAAGGCTCTGGGAATTGAATACAGTAATTTATCTGTATGAAAGCTGTTCTCTCTTCAAAATATTTACCAGGCGAGTCAGCCATCTTCATGTTTTCTCTGATGATTTTATTCATATTTCAAAGCTGGGAATTAGTATGTTAAAAGTCATTATGGAAAATTTTCACTTACCAAAAAAATCAGCATGTTTGGATGACTTCAAATGGGCTTTTTATTTAAAAACTTGACACACATATTGATGAAATGGATTCAGAAATACTGTTAACAAAGAAAAGGTTTATGCAACCTTTTTTATTCATGAAAGATGGACACATTTACGTATCATTCTGTGCAAAATCTTCATGATACTTTTAAGATACTACCATATCATCTCAGTAATAGTACACATCCAGAGCTGTGTGTATGGTTACAGACATATATACAAAGCTGCCTGCCCATTTGCAGCATCCTGTTATTTAGAAACCTGGTATAAAACACGCAATAGTAATAAAAGGAAGCCATTCTCTTCTTCTCTTTGCCTGCCTCTTCCTGAGACCAGAGTTCAGTAATACGAAACTGCTCTAAGGCAGGAGTGCACAGATGCTTTTAATTTCCTCTTAAAAATAAATAAATTAGGAAATTAAACGCAAAACACTCCTAGCTCAACATAAAGTTTGAGCCATTAAAGTCTGAACCAAGGTAGGAAAGGCAAGTCTGGGCCAGGCATCACAAATCTGAGCCCAGTCTCGAGTCAAAAATGTTGGCTCGAGCCAGTTTAAGCTAGGTGAGTCTCTCTTGCCCAGTGTTTCTACAATGGCTTTATCTGCAGGTGGTAGGGCTAGTACTTCATGACCGGATTTTGAGACCTGCAGACTTTTGGATACAACCTGTGTAACATCATTAGAGCTCTTAGAAATTATTTTATAGCTGGATTAAAGTTTTAGGCCTTCCCTCTGTAACACTTGTTAAAGAAAGCCTCCCGTTGCTGTTACATGGTGCACCTCATTCCCCTCGGAACTGCTCAGGTAAGGTGTGAACTGCCTGTAAGTCTTCTATTCTTAATTTGCAATTTTTCTGTAGCTTTGAGAAGTGTGGGTTTATCACCTGTATTTGTCCTATTTGTCGTTAATGAAAGACCGTGGGAGCAGAGAAATAGCTTATCTTACTTTTCCCTTGATTGTTTTCACAGGCCGATAAATTTCAGATGTATGTCACCTACTGCAAAAACAAGCCTGACTCCAGCCAGCTCATCCTCGAACATGCAGGGACTTTCTTTGATGTAAGCAGCCATTGCCATTTTCCTTCAGCACGCATAGTGCAGCTGAAACACCTCCTCTTTACATCTAAGCAACGACTTCCTTTTTGTGCTTTGGCATTTGGGTTTTTCATTCCACTGCAGATATCACAGGCTGTGAAAACTGATAGACTGTGGTGTGATATGTGATCTTCATCAGTGTGGCAACTTGTTTTTAATGGAGAGACACATTCTTATGGGAACCTTTGTGGATTTCTCAGACTCAATTCTTTCAAAAGATCTGGTTTAGATGTACTCTCTACTTCTGGATTTAGTGGTAAAATGCAAAGCAGATCCTATTATATTTTATGACCTGAAATCCCTAAGTCCAAAACAAGATCCTGTCCTCCTGTTCTGCAAATTTTACCCACTCTATTACACATTTGCTTCATCATGCCTGTAAGGAACTCCATTGATTGCAATTAGACTATTTCCTTTACAAGCACTACACCTGGTGATAAACATTTGCAGGCTCCAATCCCAGTTTTGTAGGCTGAGAAAAATCTTGAAAGTTTTTGAGTACTTTTAAACTAAACTTTCCGTCTGCTTTTTTGGAACTTCATCCAATTTGCCATGATTGTCTGCTACGTTACAGCTTTAATTAGTTGCCTTTCTGAGAAAATGCTAAGACCTTTTTTCCAAAGCGTTGAAAATCTTTTTATAAATGTAACCACTCAGCAGGATCCAACCTGTGATGTGGTTGGCAGCTGACATGAATCAGCTCCTCTGGGTTTGTGTGTGCCAATGGTTAGAGCATTTCAATTAAACTCAATACTGAAAGATCTCACATGAGCCAGGAGAAAAGTGATTAACACCTTTTTCTTTTGCCTTGTTTTTTGCCTTGTTGCCAAGTGGTCTAGAAGTAGAATTGAACTGAAAGGGATTTTCCAGGAGATGGCGCTTGAGCCCGTTGAATGGTTTATACTGGTTGGTGACTCGTGGAGGGTTTGCGCCGCCTTAGGTGTCTATCAGTGTTGTTTGCACAGGTTAAAAGCGTTTCCTCTGCTAAGCTTTTCCACTCCAGCTCTATATATCGCTGGAAACCTGCCTGATGTTGCTTAATATTGAGTATTGATGTGTCAGCATCTGTTCTTTTGCAAGGATGTTTTCCTTCCATTGGTGGGAATTGTGCTGGGCTACTCAGTGATACCTGTGCAAAAAGAGAAAGCTGGCTATCTCCCCCCAAAAATTGTCTGGGAGTCACTCAATCTGAGTGCAAAGTACCTGTAGATCCTTCTTGTCTTTATCTTGGAGTGGCAGTAGTTCAGTGGCAGGACAGGAGACAGTCTGGCCCAAGGAATAAGGAGGAAATGGCTGGTTCTTTTCTTCCAGGCAGAACCTGGAATTTCCCAAAACACCCTGATGATGAGAGTGAGTTATCTAGAATAACACCCCTTACTATTACTTAAGAAGCCTGCTTGAACATCACAAGTGTACAACCCCTCAAATTGTATAAACTGTCATAGAAAGGCACCTTTGAGATGAAACAAGCAGTCCCGGTAATCTGTCTGAACCCTTGAAGTCCATGGAAAATTTGCAGCTTCAGGGCTTATTGCAAGGGTTAGTTGATTAAGAGAAGGAAGAAAGATAAGTGACATATCTCATTTGAAACTGTGAAGAGATTTTCTAGCAATGCTACTATAGCTGGGATGTTCTAAGGACATAAGTGAAGCTATATTATGTAGAGAAAAGCAGTTTCTTTTCTTAGACCAGTCGATACAGGGGAAAATTATGCACAAACTCTCAATTGTGAAACTTGCCTAGTTTATCCTATAGCATTAGTCTAATAAAGAATAAAGATTACTATCTTCCCTCCCTACAGATCTTGCTTTGCTTATAAAATTCAGAAGTTGTTGGTATGGTTATGTTAGCTGGAAATTCCACAGGGAATGGCACTAGTGTGCTTACTCTTAGCTAACTTCAGTAGACTTATTAATTTGGTTCTTTCACTTTTTGTATCTGTCTTGTTCATCATCTGAGAGTAGTAGTACATTACTTAAAACTGTGTTCTTCATTCAGTAGTTTCAAAGATAAATGATACCTACCATATTTAGCAATTTTTAGTATTTGTAATACCATGTACTCAGGCTAGCAAGATATAGTTTTGATTGCCAACATGTGTTAGCCCTCAGATTCAGCTGATGGAAATCAGCGTATTATTGAGGTGATCAAGTTGATTTTAGTGTCTGTTATTTAAGCAAGCTTTGGACCTCAGGACAAAGACTGAGTTTGGTTCAGTCATCTATATGCTTCTGCTATTTTGAGTATTTTTTTTTTCTTTAAATCTTGGAAAAAGTCAGTTGTTATATTTAGGAAGCCGCAGGGTACCTTTAACTTGCATGACCAGCATGGAACATGGTAAAGCTCATTGACTTTGGTAGCATTGCAGAGTATTGTGTTTCTGCATGGATGATGGTTCTTGGACAGTTTCTCTGCTGAGCTGGAGTGTCCCTTAGGAAATGGGCAGAGGTGCAAGCAGGTTCTTAATTTCTCCTTAGTAATATTTTTTCTGAAATTGCTTACCAAAGATTTGTGTCATGCATTACAAACCCTAAATGTTTCATGAGTGTTTTAGTGCTGAATCATTCTACTCAGCAAGCCGTTGGTTTGTACACTCAGTTCAGGATGCAGTTTGTTCTCCGACTAAACAACTGTACACAATTAGATGATTTGTCTTCATTTGTGGATCTCTTTTGACATTTGATACAAAATCTGGGCACTTTATCACTGCTTCATGGTAAATTCAGCAATTCTTATGGTATGAAATTGTATTTAAGTATTCCTGTCTCCACGTTGTCAATCCAAGGGCCTCTGAGGGTCCTGTGCTGCCCTTCGCAGAGGATATTTTTGGTGTTTGTCTGGGATTCTGTTATTGCTTGTAAGACTATGCATTGATCCTGTTCTGCAGCTCATCTAGTTTGCAATGTATAACTACCAGCACATGGTGCCTGTCAGATACCTTCATTTCTTCCAGACCCTTGGGACTCTTTTCCACACCAGGAATAATTAAATTTGTGTCTAATGGTGAGCCCATCGTGCACTATAACTTGCTTTAAACGAGAATCAGGGCAAAGTAGGGAGAGCCCTGTGACCTGCTAGCTGCTTCAAAGCTAGCTCAGATACCTCTGTGCTCCATGTTAGTTAGAGGTGTGTGAGAAATGTCTACGCTACCATGTTCTGCCCTGCGCAGACCTCTCCAATCTCCGTCTCCACCCACAGTAAGTCCAGACCTCTCCAATTGTTACAAAGCCAACCCAAGACACACTTCAGCAGGCTGCCATCTTACTACAACACTTCTGGGACTAGAGAGAGGAGCTGCAGGGAGAGTGTCCCTTTCCAGCACTGTACTTCTCTGATTGCCATGTAGCAGTGCTGCCGTGCAGCAGGGACAGCTGTCGCTCCACCAACCCACTCTGTCTCTGCACAGTCTGACCAGGGATCATCCTGGCAGAGCAAGGAATGCCTGAAAGGGAGGCATCTTGCTGGGAGCATGCCCTGTTATTCAAAGAACTAGGATGAAGGAGTAGCGCTAAATTTATTACTTGGATCCTACAAAAACAAGTGTACTTAGCCAGCTTCAAGAAGTTCACAGATGTGGCCAAGGTCTTGCTGGCTCCTGCAGTTACTAATTGAGTTCCAGCCACGTGCTCTGCAGGCACTGTCCCTGTTTGGAGCCAGCCATGACTCAGCTTCATGCAAATTCCATTAACCCCCCACACAGAGCCCCTTCCCTTTTGGGTCTTGTTCATGGCACCAGAGATATTTTTTTCTAAAACAAAGTTGCCTAGTATAAGAAAAACATCTGTTGGCACATTGTGTGAAAAGTGGCTATTTTTGCATCCTAGCATAAAGATAAATGCTGGAGCTAAAAAAAATGGTAACCTCTGTAGTACTCAGCAGAAAATCAGACTGTATACAGTCTTCCCCCTTCATCTTCTGTAACTTCTTCCCTTTACAGCCTCAAATTTACCCTCCGGTAGCTGGAGATAAGTCCCATTTGTCCTCCCCATCTGCTCCCATAGGAAGCGAAGATTTCCTGATGGCCAGGAGCAGGGAGAGGCATGCCCAGGGCCTGATGGAAACAGAAGGAATTCCCACCTGTTCTATTTCAGCAGAGAATCTGCCCCTGTAGGGCATGAGTTTCAAGTCTTTTAGATGGCTAAATATGTGCATTAGGGTCCTGTAGGATTTTCAGGAGCTCCTAATTCCTACTGGAGGCAGCTGGGTCCTTTGCAGACCTCACCAGGTGCCTATCTGCAATGTCTCCAGAGGTTCATAAGTACATCACACTGATCAGCACAGACATTCTATTGAGATTGAGGTGACAAAAGAGAAATATTCAGTGCTGTAAAAGGTATTGTAAGGGTATGTCCCCTGGCCCCCCTTGTGCCACTTCAGAATAGCATAGGTCTGTCAGCACTGTGTCAGACCTGTTACTCCCACATGGATATTTCAGCTACCACAGGGCTCTCAAATAGTACTTCAATGCTCATGTTTAGACAGCTAAATTACACCCTACACATGCAATTTAATTTAATGTCACTTCATTTTAATTGAATGGTAAGACTCTGCTTTCAGCCTTCATAGCTAGGAGAAACCAGTTGACGTGACAAATAAGTCATATTTAAATCAAAGCCTGTGTAGTTTACTCAACATAGCCTTAGCTTGACTTGCATAGGGCCCCTGCAGTTTAAGTGGCCTTGGGGGGACTGCAGCTTATTGCCAGCCTCTCTGAAACCACAGTTATTTGCATGCGAGCGTAAAGACAGTTTAAAAACTAAACAAAGAAATGCAGAGACCCAGAGCTAAAGTTAGTTATGGTGGTTCTGTCTGGCAGGGGGTTAATAGTTTTCCATGACTGACTGCTGATCTTATCTCTTGCAGGAAATTCAGCAGAGACATGGTCTGGCCAACTCTATCTCTTCTTATTTAATCAAGCCTGTCCAGAGGATCACAAAATACCAACTCCTACTGAAGGTACCTTAGTGAGCTGCCCAAATCAGCTCATGCAAAGCAGTTCACAGGTGTAAGGAGTTAACTTATTCTTAAGGGAGGTGCCTCATCTGTTGTTTGTGACCTGTAAGCATCTGCCTCTGAGCTGAGCTGCCACTCCTGCTTCCCAGGCCTGAGCATGGCAACAAAGTGTGAAATCAGGTTGGGTGTTTTAAAGGAAAAAAAACTCACAGAAAGAAAAAAAAACAAACAGTAAAAAACTGATCACCTATTTCAGCTGGGGTTTTTTGTATCCAAGTGATTTAACCCTAAAAAGCAAGAACTGGGAAAGAGAAATTGAAGGGATAACAAGAACTGTTTGCTTTCCTTCTTCCTAAGTTTGTGACATGTAATATTTGATTAAAGGCTTCAATGACAGCAGTAATGAACTTTGGGAAATTTCACTGACTCTTGACTGAGACTTCTTTGCTGATGTTAGATTATGTTTGGGAGCTAACATGTTTGTGTTTGAAAAACAGGGAAAAGCTTCATATACAAAGCAAGGACTTCCAAGTGAAACATTAATATTTCCCATTAAAAAACCCCTTTGTTGGTTTGTTGTAAATTGGTTACAGGTTTTTTACAGTATCTTGTAAGTAGGTGAATTTTAGATCTAACTTAACCAAGCACTGTTCACTTCCAAACTAGTAAACCCGAGAAGAAAAAATATCTGGGAGATAAGGGAAGACACAGATTCTGACTTTGAAAAGCTAGGACCAGATATGATACTCTTTAAAGCTTCCTGTGTATATACCAAAGAAGTGATATGCTGTACTAGGAAGGTACTTATTGAGTACATTCAACATGTTGACAGATCTGTGCTTTGTACCACTTTACTGGAACAACAGACAGGTTTACCATAGTCTAGTGAGTGCTGTGGGACAGCGAGCCTGCACTGCACAAACTATCTGCTAATCAGAAGGCTAAAACACTCCTTCAGTCATCACCCCTTTTGTCTCCTCCTTAGATGAATCTTTCCTGAAGGAAAGGTACTCACCAGCACTGCAGGATCAGGCAGGGGTCCTGCAAGCTGCCTGGCACAGCTGGACTGACTGATGACTGCAGCATAGGCATAAGTCCCCAGAAATCTTCTGAGTGCACAGTCTCGCTTGAGAGCATCTTTTTTCTTGTTTTACAGTCATTCCCATTTGATTCCCACTATCTGTGAGCATCCACAATGGGTTTTGATGCAGTTCAGCTTTTTCCTGTCACTGTTAGTGAAGCAGTTGCATGTACCAAGTAACACAATCTGATATAAAGCCAACACATTGGTCAGAGTTTGCTTATAGTTGTTCTGCATTGCTTCTTAGGAACTGCTGACCTGCTGCGAGGAGGGCAAAGGGGAACTCAAAGATGGTCTGGAAGTGATGCTCAGCGTCCCAAAGAAGGCCAACGACGCAATGCACGTCAGCATGCTGGAAGGTAGCAGATGGGCAGGTGGCCAGGGCAGGGGAGGGACCCGCCGATAAATGAAGCCTTCTTGTCACTTGTGTAGAAAGTTAGTATGGGTTGACTGTAGCAATACTGTTGATTGATCATAATTTTCAGGTACTTCCTAGCTCCTTTCTGATCTTTCTCCAAAAGTCTTGAAAGAATAAAGCCAGCTAGGAAGTTTTGGGGGTTTATTTATTTATATCTTTTGTATGTGTGTATATGTATTCATATGTGTATACATATGTACATACGTGTGTGTGTATGTATACATATACAATGTATATATATATTTGATTAAAACATTCTTACTTCATGAACAAATAAACCCCCAATCTGCAACAGTATCAGTTTAGCTGCTGGCAGGCGTAAGAGTTATTGGATGAAAGCATTTCTAAATACAGTCTCAGCGTTTCAAAAGAAAAAGTTCTAGTTTTCTGAGTCAAAACAGCTTGTGTTTCAAAATGTTAGTATGATTATCCCAAAGATTAAAACACTGAAAAAAGTATTATTAAAAGGTATTTTGAAATTACAGAAAAATTATTTTGATTGCCCCAAAGTTAAGTCTTTTATTGGCTTTTTGATGTGTGGAGTATTTCTAAAATTTAAAAATTTTATTCTGAACAGAGGTGCTTTATTGTCTCTCAAACATTTTCTTGGCTTAGGAAAATAATTTCCAGCCTAGCTTGAGTCAGAACCAGGAAATAAGAAGAATACTAAAACAGGCGAGAAAAAGGAAATGGTGCCGGTAGCTAAGCAGCACATTAAGACCAAGTGATTAAAATTGCAGGGGTGCAAACTGACCCAGCATAGGTGGAAACACCTACTGTCTATAAAGATGATTTTAACTGTGGTGTCTGGTGAAAAGAAAGGTTTCCCAAAATAATGCCTGGATAATTTGTCCCCATGAGATGACCAGCACCACGCAATAACAAAGAAGCAGGTTTGACTTTGTGAGGGTAGACAAGCACTTGGACAGTTGTCTTCTGAATAAAACATTATTCCTGAATATTTGGAGCAGGGACCAGGGCTGCTTGCTGCTCTCCCAGGGCTATCTGGCATGAGCAACAACCAGCTGTGCTGGTGGACGAGTAATCCCCAGCTCTGGAGAGAAGCGTGACCCACAAGCTGCTGAGACAGCAGCTGCTGAGACAGCAGCTTGGACGGCACCTTGCACTAGGGACTGCCTTTTCCCTCAAGCCTCCCAGTTATGTGGAGGGAGTCCTGTGATCCGCAGCCGTGTGAAGGTTTTTGACATGCAGCTTTGAAGATGAAGAAACTCCTCCTGGAAGGCTTGTTTCAGACACCATACCAGTTCGCTCTCAGATGTAGCTCCCCCATGCCACTGCTGTGGACTCACAGTCTCTTGAAGGTTGGGTTAGCATGCTTGAAGGCATCATGGTAAGATGCGGCACTTCCAGCCACTGCACATTACATTTCTCTGAATTTGTACTGATGTGCACAAGATTTCTTGCATTGCAGTTCTGTGTACTGTAATGACCACTGAAACGTTTATAATATTTATCTTTAAGTAATTACTACTACACTTTATCAGCAGTCTCATTTAGCACATATGATATATTTGCCTCTGGTGAAATAATTACAGCATTGCAGTAGGAAAAAAAGATATTTTCACTAGGGCAATGGATGCCCATTAGTGTTCTTTCAGAATATGCATAAAAAAAGAGAAAGACCCTTTTATTTCAAGTCCTTACTGTTCTGGTGTTTCTGGGCGTTACTGGTCCCAAGAACAAATTCAAGCCAATGTGTTTTGTGGTTTTAGGGTTTGATGAGAACCTGGACGTCCAGGGAGAGCTGATTCTTCAGGATTCCTTCCAAGTGTGGGATCCCAAGTCTCTCATTCGGAAAGGCCGTGAGAGGCATTTGTTTCTCTTTGAAATCTCTTTGGTGTTTAGCAAAGAGATCAAAGATTCTTCAGGACACACAAAATACGTTTACAAGAACAAGTTACTGGTAGGTGTGTCTGCAAAGAAAATATTCTGGGTGTTGTATTTCTTGTAGGCAGAGGTGGAGTTTGGGGGATGGCTAACATGTCCCCATGCTGGGTTGGGGATACTCATGCCACCTGGAAGGGCTGGCTCTGGGCCCTGTGGGGCTCACCTGGAAGCCAAGCTTGCAAAGAGTCTAGAGAGGTTTAAGATAGTGAGATGTGAAGGGTGAGTGGGAAATGCAAGGAGGATCACTCAAGCCGTTCACTTCCAGGCCATCCCCTGGTGGTTTTCTGTTTCTTTTATCTGTGTGTAGCAAGGCAGAGACAAGATCTCACTCCCCTGTCTATCCCTGCCTCCCCACGTCTCCCTACAAATGTAAATTTTGCTGGACTCATGAGGCTTCATATGTATGAAATCTCTCACCGTCTCTCCTCCACACTAGACCTCAGAACTGGGAGTGACTGAACATGTTGAAGGAGATCCCTGTAAATTTGCTTTGTGGTCTGGACGAACACCATCCTCAGACAATAAAACAGTGCTGAAAGTAAGTCTTTCCTGCTTGTTTTCTTTGCCTTTAGAGCTTCTAGTTCGGGCCTTGGGAGCAGTAAATGAAAGGTCAGTTTCTTCCCTCCTCATATTCGCATGGCTTCCATGTCTGTCAGTGGGTTCGTGCCTGCATCAAGAGCAATTCAGCTCTAAGGCCTTAGCGTGAATCCAGACGGTGCAGTTGTGCAGCCTTGCTGAAATTGCATCTGCTCTTGCAGCCTGGGTTGAGCAGCTGCACACTGACATAGGGTGTGTCTCAATGTGTTTGGCTGGGAGGTATAATTCTCTTAGTCCTTTGCCACTGGGTTATCGACAATTAACCTATTTCTCAAACCTCCAGAGCTGAGAGCCATTTCTGTCAAGTGACGCTCTAATGAAGCATTCATGTTATAGTTATTTTGTCTGAGAAAATCCCAGCTGTGCACTGATAACCTATTTCCTCCCTATAGAGCATGCATTAAATATATTTATCCAGAGCTTAGCTGCTTTGCTATTGCCCGCCAAATAGATCTGGTAAAAATACCCTCAGTTCTCCTGAGGTTACCAGGTACTCCAGAAGCTAAAACAATACAGTAGAGAGGAGAAACAGTTAATCATGCATTTTCATCAGCCAACCACAATTCATCTACATAAGAGGTGACATGCTGGGAATACGATAAAGTGTCTCTCTTTCTGCCTTGTGGAACTTCAGGCATCCAGTATTGAAACAAAACAGGAATGGATCAAAAATATCCGGGAAGTCATTCAAGAAAGGATTATCCATCTGAAAGGAGCTCTGAAAGAGCCGATTCAGCTCCCCAAGACACCAGCAAAGCAGCGAAACAACAGTAGAAGGTAACCTCAGTCATTCCATACAACGTGAAATCACTAGCATTTTCTCGACCAACAGCAGTGTAATGTCTGTGGGCTTTTTACTAGATTCACTTAGTTTTTCTTACTATAGTCAAAAGCAGTTTTGATCATCTTTGCTTTTTATATGTTGTCTTGGCAAAAGTAGCTAGAGAGCTTTTCTATGATATACATACAAAGGTCTTTAATACTTTGGAGTACTAAAATAAGAGAAAATGAACAGTAAAAATTCTTCAGAGTCCAAGTTTACGTTTCTTTCCCAAAGTAGAATTTACTACTTCATATTTGAGTATTAACAGATTTTTATTTTTTCCCTTGTTTGGCATTTTGAATTGTTTGACAACGAAAATCACAGCTGGTCATGACAATATATTACTACAGTGGAGAATCTGTCTTTCATCATCAAATACAAACTCCTTTCAGCCTATGAAGTAATGTTAAATTTTTTTGTCAACTTCTTTGAATCCTGGATTAAATAGAAATGATAGAAAATGAATTGTTCTTTGCTGTCATGCTGTCATTCCCAAAAGCCACCCGTAATTTGAGCATCTCCACTTCCTCATCAGGTTTTATCACTCTCTTACTTCAGACTGTATTATAGAGGCATCCAAAGCATGAGTGACCAAGTTCACCCAGGAGACCTGTAGCAAGGCAGAAATCCAGACATTTCTTCCTGGGGACATGCACCAATACAAGAGTTTTGTAGAACCGAACAAGGATCTTAATTTTTTTTTTCTTTGTCCTTAAATATGTATTTTATATTATTTAAATGTATATTTTGAAAGACCAGTAAAAATTTAGGAGAACTATTATCTATACAGCAAAAAGGAAGAAAATACCCTCTGTAAGGAGACTCATATGCATAGTCTTGTAGAGCTCTACACTATATTTATGTTTGTTTGGATATAATTTTTATGGCTTAGTATTGAATTCCTGAAGATGTGGTTTCTGTGACACAAGAGAAATACCTCTTCCTTCAGTGTCACATGTAGCCTGGGCTTGTATGGTTTTGGTTAAGGCAGAAATGTAATTGAAGGAAAATTTCTGCCTGACAGCCTCATTACAGAGCTATTTCTGATCACCGGAGTCCTCTGTGCTGTAAATATGCAGGCAATGGCCATCCTGTTTCCAGCAATAAACGTGATTATGTGCTAATCCCAACCCTATGGTTGAAGGTGACATCATTTTAAATTGCAAACTACATAGCAACATGGCCTGCATCAGTGAGGTAATTTTAGCACAAAGCCAGCTCTGGCACGCTGACTCGGCACTTCTCAAATCCACCTATAAAGTTGTGCACATTCCAAAGTGGTGTGTTAAGTAAGCATCGTTGTTTCCCTATTATGTCTTTCACAGAGATGGAGTAGATGATGCAGACAGCCAAGGAGATGGCAGCAGTCAGCCTGACACCATTTCCATTGCATCCAGGACATCACAGAACACAGTGGACAGCGATAAGGTAGGACTGAAATGTGAAAATACACTGCAGCTAATCATCCCCAGAAAAATGTAAGGGAAAAGCAGAATAGAAGGCAGAATAAAGCAACCTGTCTTCTACTGAGTGAGATGAACTTGTATTCCCTTATGCTAGGCTATTAAAATCCCATGTGTTTCTAGGTGCTTGTCAGTACTGCTGTTTTACGTAGTAACGTCTCTGTTGCTGCAGCTTCTTTGTGGTTAATACACAGAGGTTGAATTGGCTCTGAAGAAACACAGCCCAGAGCAACCTTGTCTTCCTTAGTAGAACGTGCCCTGTGGGAGCCAGTTTCTGAATCAGCAAACAGTTGGTTATGTTCCATATTTGCCCTCTGAGCTAAAATCAGTAGTTTGTTGGAGGGAACACAGGTGCTTAGACACCAATTAATACAGCAAAATTGGGATCCTGGCTGGTATCTTGAGAGCCTGGGAGACCTACCCTTTCCAGAGACTGTGATTCTGGACCCCTCTCCTTGCGGACATATGGTGGAGCATATGGATGGCCCCGAGATGCGCTAGATTCTGTTGGAATGCTGCACACTGTCGGCACGTACGTACTTGTTTTACTTATCAGATGATCTGAGTCCAGATTCCCAGCTCCACTAGGATGCCTGACTTGAATTTGTCACTCTGATACCTCCAACTGTGGTCTTCAGCTGAATTAGCAGTTGGTGGTAGGAGTAAATGGGCTGTTAGTAATAATTTATCTTAGCTACGCTGATGGGGTTTGTCATATCCACTGAAAGAATGTCCATATTCTCTTCATGTGTTGTTTTGAAATCATATGTAACTTGTAAAAAGGATGAATTCTGCAATACCATTATGGATTTATCTGTTTGTCAGGGCTTTAATTACGCTGCCATTTACACAAGGTAGAAGGATGTCTTCACAAAATCAGAGTTCAAGTTTACGATTGTAAAGTTCACAAGTAAGATTCAGTGCAGACGTTATTTTGAAAGCTGGACTCAGAAATAGGAGTTAATTGCAAAGAAATTACCTTTGTGAGACCACCTGTTGTTTATCTTAAAGGCATGTTCCCATACTTTTGCTTTTTTGACCAGTAATGCATTAGAAAAGTATCACAATCATAAGGCCACTGTAATGTATGCAAATACTTTGCCCGATGTCGAAGAATTGTTTTCTTATGTCTTCAGTCCACATGGACTTGCCCAACTTTTCCATGTTTTTCACATTTATCATTCCTGAGAAAGGCCCTGACTTAGTAGAGTACCTGAGCTCATGTTTAATTTTAAACATTTGCATAAGCTTTTCTTGTTTTACCCAAGCCCATTGACCCAGTTGCATGAATTATGGTAGACAGGCAAGGTCTAGGTAAGATGCTCCATATTGCATGCTGTAGCTGCGTACAAGATCTATAGTGTCAACAGCACAGGAAACTATCAGACTGTACCCTGAAAGACAGCCCATCATGGCAACAATTGGTTTAAGGATGCAAGGCTGGAAAGGGTTATAGGAATTTCTATCCAAAACCTTGTTTGAATTAGATGGTGAATGTGTACGAGATAAATTGAGCACCAGATCATGCAGGGAAAAATTTGTTAGTGCTGGAGACAGGCTAAATCAGTTCTAGGGTTGTGTCATGTTTTTTACTTTTTTAAGGTGAGTAGGTTCATTTGCTGACTTAAGGCTGTCTGTGTGTTTGTGTGTCCTTATATACATTTAATGAATAGAAACAAATTCCAGTGTACAGCTAAAGCTTAAATATACTTGTATGTGTTTTGTTGAGTCTAAGCAACTAGTGTATCATCCTTAGATAGAGAG